AGGAATAATAATTTATTAGAACATTAAAAACCCTCATAGCTCCTTCAGCCTCTTTCATTTCAGATGTATAGCTCGAGGTATTGATTTGTTTACAACAGCCATTAAAAGCTTCGCTACGAGGCCTTTACTCACAGGAAAGGAAGACACATTACCAAAAGCATTACCCAGCTTTTACAGCATGTCCACGTTAGTCTGACCCAACCAGAACAGTCAAGGGAAGAGGCCAGACCTCCTCAATCCAGAGCATAAGCAATTTGTGTGGGGACAAAAAGTCTCCACAGGGCTTTTGTCCCTTGTAACTCACACAAGTCACTTAGTCTCTTGGACTTGCTGCTCTTACAAGAGCCCTTGCCCCTTTAGGTGCTAGAGCCTTGCTTTCAAGCAGACGCTAGTCCCCACAAGTTTATCCTTTTGCAGTGTTCGGGCTGTTTGGAGTTGCTGCAGACACAGGCTAATTGCAGTGCAACTCCTCAGCAGCTCTGTTTAGGGAACGGGAGACTGCCACCAGGGCTGGCCTCAGAGGGGAAGGGCAGTCCTTTCTGGGATGCTGCTCCCGACTAAGGCAGCAGAGATCAAAGCACATCTTTTCCTCCTGCCCCACCCAGTGGTTCAGGCTGGAACACCACTTTGCCATTGGGAAGAAATCAAGATGCCAAACTGCAGCAATGTGGCAGTCCCCAGTACCTAAATCCCCGCAAAAGTGCTGGGGCAGCTGCTACTTTACCCCTCTCCGGGTCGGCGATGGCTGGAAACACCAGCCCAGCAGGGCCAGAAAAGCTTCTTGGTAGGGCAGTGGCACTGGAAAGCAGGCTGCTCTTCCCATCAACTACAAGGGCAGGATGAAGGTGAAGGCAGGCACAGGTTTGGGAAATCTTGCTGACCTTTTGTTGATGCTTCTGCCATGCAGAACACACTAAAAAACCCAAAACAAAACAAAAACACACACAGCTTCATTTCCCCCAACCTGCAGCCCTTCCTCAGGCACACAATCCTCATTCCCAGTCATCTTTGTATAGAATTAATGGGAGGGGGCCAGGGACATGAAAGTGGGGGCCACTGGGGCCTCTAGCCCCAGTGCCTCTAGTCTGAGCACTGGGCTGCAAGCAGGACCAACAAGCTTGGGTGCACCAGGCCCCCGAAGATGGAAGGCATCAGCCAGCAACTTGCTTTTGCTGAAAGTGCTGCTGTATGAGGACACATCTCTGTTGGGAAAAATGAGATTCGAGGGGCAACAACTTCTCTTAACAAACCTTCCCTGCTAATAACCGCAGGGGAAACCAAACCATGCCGAGGCCCCTGGGGGCACGCAGGAAGGCACAGCAGGGCACGCGGAAGCCCTGGGGGTGCCTGGCAAGGCACACCGGCACCCTGGGGCTCACACAAGGCGCACCAAGGCACTCTGGGGCGCCCAAGTGATAACGCAGAGCATGGAAGGAAGCCCCGAGTGGTACCCGGGGGTGTCCGGAGCCTCTTGAGAGCACAGCGAAGCCCCGCACGGGCTGCCTCGCGGGGCCCCGCTACACAGGCGGAGGCCCTGGGGGCCAAACGGAGGGTTTGGGGAGAGGGGCGA